AAGAGACATGAGAGAGAAATTAGGATTGTTTTGTTACTACAAGTTATTCATACTCCCTGTGATGCAGAATAGTATTATTTAAAAGTGGGCTTGCATAGTTGTAAATGTGTATTGCAAACTACAGGGCAATCACTAAAAAAGTTTTTTAAAAAAAGTAGTATAACTGACATGCTAAGAAAGGAGAAAAAAACAAATCATACAAAACGTCCAATTAAAACTACTAAAGGCAAAAAAGAGTGGAAGACAGTAAGAGGAACAAAGAACAAGGTCAACAAACAGAAAATAGTTAACAAATATGGTAGCTAGTAATTCGACTATATTAATAATCACTTAGAATGTCAGTGTCTAAACATACAAATTAAAAGACAGAGCGTCAGGCCTTGCCATAGCCATCACCAAGCCCATCGACACCACCTCTGAGAAGACGGCTGGGATGTCTTCACCAAGGGCTACTGATTTGGCTTAATAAAGCTTGATTTGAAAACAAAATCTGAGAATGGATTGGAATTGACAAGCTTAGGCTAAGCCAACACTGAGAACACCAAAGTGATGGGCAGTCTGGAAACCAAGTACAGATGGACTGAGTACAGCCTGACATTTACAGAGAAATGGTACACTGACAATACACTAGGCACTGAGATTACCATGGAAGATCAGCTTGGATGTGGACTAAAGCTGACCTTCAATTCATCCTTCTCACCTAACACTGGGGGGAAAAAATGCTAAAATCAAGACAGGGTACAAGTGGGAGCACATTAACCTGGGCGCAACATGGATTTTGACATTGCTGGCCCTTCCATCCGAGGTGCTCTGGTGGTGGGTTACGAGGGCTGGCTGGCCAGCTACCAGATGAGTTTTGAGACTGCAAAGTCCTGAGTGACCCAGAGCAACTTTGCAGTTGGCTACAAGACTGAATTGCAGCTTCACATTAATGTGAATGATGGGACAGAATTTGGGAACTCCATTTACCAAAAAGTGAACAAGACGTTGGCAACCACTGTCAACCTCACCTGGAGAACAGGCAACAGTAACGTGCTTCAGAATAGCAGCTAAGTATCAGACTGACCCTGATGCCTGCTTCTTGGCTAAAGTGAACAACTCCAGCCTGACAGATTTAGGATACACTCAGACCCTAAAGCCAGCTATCAAACTGACACTGTCAGCTCTTCTGGATGGCAAGAACGTCAATGCTGGTGGCCACAAGCTTGGTCTAGGACCGGAATTTCAAGCATAAATGAATAATGTACAATTGTTTAATTTGGAACTATTTTGCAGCATTACTACCTTCAGAATTTAGTGTATCTTTTAATGTTGAATGTCTGGGATGCAAGTATTGCTAAATATGTTAGACCTTCAGGTTAAAGATGATTCAGCTTTAAGATGTTACCCTTTCAGAGGTATAGAAGAAACCCATTTCCAAAAAAGGTCCCTTCAGTGGTAGACTTGGAAGAACCTGGTGGCCCCTTTGAGATGCCAGGTCTCTTTTTTATCTAGAAATGGCTGCAAGTGGAAGGTGATAATATGTAGGCACTTTGTAAATCCATATTGAGTAAATGAATAAAACTGTGATTTCCTGAGAATCGAACCTTGGTTTCCTAACGTTAACGATGAAAGGCTTGCTGCTTGATGGTGTATACAAACTCACCTGAATGGGACTTTTTTAGATAGATCTTCATGACCTGTTCCCACCCCAGTTCATCGTCACCTCTTTCACACCAGAAGGTCTCCAGGGTGTGGTCACTGTTTCTTTTGTGCTATTTTGGGGTGGAGAGGAGGGATGTGATGAAGCCAGTAACTCAGGACTTATTCTTTCTTGCATGTGGGTTTTTTTTTTCCCCTTGTACCAGAGTGTGAAATAGCTTCCAGCAGCTACAGCTATATGCTTAGAAGAGTCTCTGTGATTGTAATCACAAAGTGACAACACTCAGCATCTAAACTGGACTTCTGTTGTATTCTCACCACTCAATTTGTTTTTTTAGCAGTTTAATGGGCACACTTTAGAGTCTTCCATTTTGTGTGGAATTAGATCCTCTCCTTCAAATGCTGTAATTAACATCACTTAAAAAAAACTTGAATATTGAAACCTCAAAAAAAAAAAAAAAGACTGAGTGTGTCAGAGTGGATCAAAAAATGAGACCCCATTATGTGTTGTCTACAGGAAACCCATTTTAACTATGAAGGCACATAGATTAAGAGTCAACAGATAGAGAACATTACACCATGCTAACACTACTCAAAAGAAAGTGGGAGAGCTATATTAATTTTAGACAAAGCAGACTTTTAGAGCAAAGAAAATTAGCAAGGATAAAGAGGGTCAATACATAATGATAAAGGGTCAATTCTCTAAGAAGACATAACAATCTGTAATTTGTATATACCTAACAAGACATAACAATCTTTAATTTGTATGCACCTAACAACAAAGTATCAAAATGGTTGGCAAACATACAATTGAAGGAGAAAGACAAATTCACAATTATACCCAGAGACTTCAACACCCCTCCATCACTGAAAAATCCAAGAAGCAGATGTAAAAATCTAATTGAACTGAACATCATTAATTGATTGGATCTAAGTGACATTCACAAAGCCTTCTTCCAACAGCAGTATGCACATTCTTTACAAGCTCACATGGAACAATCATCAAGAGAGACCACATCCTCTATCAGAAAGCACACCTTAACAGATTAGAATAGAATTCATACAAAGTATGTTCTTAGACCACAATGAAATTAAACTAGAAATCAATTATCAGAAAAATAGCTGGAAAACCAAATTATTTGGAGATTAAAGAACACAATTCTATATAACAAATGGGTCAATAAAGAAATCTCAAGAAAAAAGCTTAAAATACTTGTAACTAAATTAAAATGAAAATTCAACTTAAAATTTGTGGCATGGAACATAAACAGTACTTAGAAGGAAACTTATAGCAATGAATGCATATATTAGAAAAGATGATTTAAAATCAATAATCTAAGGTTCCACCTTAATAAACTGAAAAAGGAAGAACAAATTAAATCCAAAGTAAATAGAAGAAATAACAACTATAACAACTCAACAGAGAAAATCAACTATAATCAAAAGCTAGTTCTTGGAAAAAATCAATAAAATTCATAAGCCTTCAGCCAGGCAGAGAAAAAAAGACAAGACATAAATTACTAACATCAGAAATGAAAAGAGAGGACATCACTATAGATCCCATGAACATTAAAAGGATAATTAAGGAAGATTATAGACAAATTATAATCCTACAAATTTGTAACATAGATTAAATAAACCAATTCTTTAAAAGACACAATCTGCCAAAGTTCACACCATAAGAAACAGATAACCTGAACAGGCCTGTATCTATCAAACAGTGAATCAATACTTAATAACCTTCCAACACAGAAAAAGAACTTACCAAGCCTACAGGGGTTCATAAGTGTGTTCTACCAAACATTTAGGGAAGAAAATACACTAATTCTCTCCAATGCCTTTCAGAAGACGGAAGCAAAATGACTACTTCTTAACCCATTCTATGAGTCCAGCATTATCCTAATACCAAACCTAGACAACAATACAGGAAAACTATAACCCAGTATCTCTCATGAACACAGATACAAAAATCCTCAAAAACATATTAGCAAATGAAATCAATGATGTATAAAAAGTTTTGTACACCATGACCAAATGGGATTTATCCAAAGCAGTCCAACACCTGAAAATCAATTACGTCATCTATTACATCAAAAGGCTAAAGTAGAAAAATCAACTAGGAATAGAGGGAACTTCCTCATCCTCATAAAACACATCTACCAAAAAATGTGTAACAACACACTCAGCAGTAAGAAAGCAGAAGCATGCCCACATCAGGAACAAGGCAAAGATGATCCCTCTCACGACACCTTTTCAAAATCAAACTAGAAGTCTCACATAACGTAACAAATCAAGAACTGGAAATAAAAGTTATAGATATTAGGAAGGAAGAAATAAAACTGCAGATAAGATCGTCTATTTAGAAAATCTTAGAAGAATCAACCAAAAAAAAAAAAAAAAAACCCTCTTAGATCTAATAAGTCATCGTAGCAAGGTTGCAGGATACAAGGTTAGTAATATGAACGTCAGTTGCTTGCCTATATACCATCAATGAACAATACCATTTATTAATACATTAGCACCCCCAAAAATAACTACTTAAAAATAAATCTAACAAAATATATACAAGAATCACATAAGGAAAATACAAAACTGATTAAAGAAATCAAACAAGATAAAAATAAATGGAGAGATATTCTAACATGGATAGGATAAGTCATTATTGTTAAATGTCATTTCTTCCCAACTTAATCTATAGATTCAATACAATCCCAATCAGAACCCCAACAAGTTATTTTGTGAACATTGACAAACATTCTCAAGTTCACATGGAAAGGCAAAAGACAAAACAAAATACTAGAGAAGAGTTGGAAGACTGCTATTACCCAACTTCAAAACTTACTATATAACTACAGTGATCATGACAGTGCGGTAAGGGCAAAAGAACAGAGAAATTAGTCAACGGAAATAACAGTTTGGCAGTTCTTACAAAGCTAAACATAGGCTTACCATATATAAAATCCCGCAATCACACTCCTAAGCATTTACCCAAATGAATTCAAAAGCTTGCCCAGGACTGTTTATAGCAGCTTTATTCAAATACGAAGAACTGCTGTACATCTGTCTACACAATTCAGCAATAAAAAGAAATGACCTATCAAGTCACAAAAAGATATGGAGGATCCCTTAAATGCATACTTCTAAGTGAAAGAAGTCAATCTGAGTAGCATGCATGAGCCACCATGCCTGGCCTATTAAATGTTTGTTAAGAAGTCATAACCAGCTTAAACTGATTTTAGAAACATAATCTCTTTCTAAGTTGCTGGTTCCTGTGATGTATCTGAGGGAGAAACAGACATGCCACTTATTAACAAGTTTAAGAAGTAAAGGAGAGAAGAAAAAACTGTTATATGACTTACCCGTTGCTTCAAAAGTCAATTTAATAGAATCCCAAGGTGTTTGCTCTTTGGATATGAGTCGGAAATAAGCAGGATTTCTTGGAGAAACTTCCGGGGCAGGAAGATACCAGTTTTTCCTATTTGGAAAGGTAGCTTCAATTATTTAGGGTGCTTGATTAGTCGATGGCTAAGTGTTCAGTATGTATGAACACATTTTGGGGTATGAAAATAAACTGATAGATATAATAAGCAATGCCAACTCCCAAAAACTCAGATTATTTTGCAATAATAGCTTCCCAATATTAAGAACAAAGGAGTAACCTAGGTGATCTTGATTCTACCACCCATCCTATTTCTTCTCATCCGGTCCTTCACTGCCAAGCTATAAAATTTTCCCAGAGAAAACAATTTTTGAGATAGATGCTTAATGGCTATTATATTAGTTAGAAGGGCCACCTTTTCTATCCGCTCTGGTTTCTAGAGAAAAGACTTTAAATTTGAAAAAGCAGAACTACTCCTCTGAGTGCTTTATTTCACTTAAGAAAAAAAAAAAAAAAGTTCCATAATGATAGAAAAAACACTACAAACAGCACTGAACTTGTATATTAAGGATGACAGTTTAAATGATAACAGTACTGATATGGTGACAAGACTTGAGAACAAACTTATCTCCAACTTAAGCAGAAAAATAATGAACCAACCTGATTAGAAAGTGCACTGGAAGATACCAAGGAAAACCACAGAGAGGTGCATTCTCCTCACAGTGAGCTCGGATGCTATCATTGATTTCAGGAATGTGAGGGGTTATGTGAGACATTCCAGTATAATCAAACCCATTGATCCATACTCCAGAGTCCCGTTTAACTGCATTTCCTTCTAAGTCATGAAATGTTCTAGTCATATGCTGGAGAAAAAAAAAAAAAAAAAAAGACTAGTGAGAAAACTATTTCAACTAGTACACCCACATTCTCACAAAAATGGAGTATGACAATACCAAGAAATGATGTGGATATGGAGCAAGTGAATGACACACTCAGGGTTTCTAACGTACTGCTAGGGTTCTTTCTTGTAATCTGGAAGATGGATATATAGATGGTTGTTTTGCTCTATCTTCCAAATATATTTAGGTTTCCTATAAAATTTTTTGAAACTTCCTACTTCAGATTTAAAAGGCATGAATGTTAGAGCTCCTCTGAGATAAGAATTTAAAACAAATACATCCTAAGCACATATATACATACACACTCATTTCCCCTTTAGTGTTTTATGAAGCTAATTAACGTGCAGACAAAAACGGGAATTGCAGCTCACCACTAGATGACAGCCTTGTGCCTAGCAGAATTTTATAAAAAGGCACCATGTTCCATTTGGAATAACTCTACTGACAGCAGAAACCAGCCTGAAGCATATCAATCAGGGGGGAAAAAAGGAAAGAAAACACTGCATAGGGTAGGCGCCTGCAAACTGCAGCCAACAGAGCAAACTGTCCACTGACTCACTGTTTTTATACACCAACTGTTACTTGAACATGGCCACACTCATTCGTTTAGGTATACTCTCTTGCTGCTTTCACACTGTAAAACGGAGTCACTGCAACAGACTGTATTGCTGACAAAGCCCAAAATATTATCTTGTCCTTTACAGGAAAAGGTTGCCAACTTCTGGCACGGTGGAAGAGAACCCCAAAACAAATCAGAAAAGGCCATTTTAAAAGTAAAAAGCTGGCTTTTCCTACATATTACTGACATAATTATAAAACCTAGTACATCATGAAAAACACATTGAACCTCCTAAAAAAAATTTTGTCCTTCACTAAAGGTTTTACAAATCGTAAAATCTCACATAAAATTTATCACAGAATCCTTCAGGGCTATAACAAGGAGTTGTTATTTGGACCCTTTTCTAAATCTCCTAAGTTCAAGCATTTTTAATTTTTTAAGTCATTGAATAGTAATCTAGGTTATAATTTCTCTGGCATTTCTGTTTGGCTAGTTCACAACCTCTAACAGAGATGACTAGAATTGAGGCTTACTGCTTTATAGTACCAGGTCTAAAAAATCTGAAGAAGAATCTGAGATCTAAAATAAGTCTTCAAACTGGCCAGGCATGGTGATTCACACCTGTAATCCCAGGCACTTTTGGAGGCCGAGGTGGGCGGATCACCTGAGGTCAGGAGTTCAAGAACACCCTGGCCAACGTGGTGAAACCAGTCTCCACTAAAAATTCAAAAATTAGCCAGGCGTAGTGGTGGATACCTGTAATCCCAGTCACTCGGGAGGCTGAGGCAGGAGAATCACTTGAATCTAGGAGGGCCAAGGTGGGTGGATCACCCGAGGTCAGGAGTTCAACAACACCCTGGCCACCATGATGAAACTCATCTCCACTGAAAATTCAAAAATTAGCCAGGTGTAGTGGTGGACACCTGTAATCTCAGCTACTTGGGAGGCTGAGGCAGGAGAATCACTTGAACCCAGAAGGCAGTGGTTGCAGTGAGCCAAGATCGTGCCACTGCACTCCAGCCTGGGCAACAGAACAAGACTCCATTTCAAAAAAAAAAAAAAAAAGAAGGAAGTAAGTCCTAAAACTCATTTTATTAATCCCTTCCTAAGTTATAGTTTCACTATCACATATTACTTTGAATGTTACTTAAGATTAATTTTACTAGTATTTTTAAATATCAATTTTGCCAGTTGATAGTTTAGATTTTTACTCAGCCTGTAGACATTCTTACAATCTTTATTTCTAAAAACTCATTATTCCATCATATATATTTGCTCCTGTTTTTCCAAAAAGGTGCAGTTTTATAATTTGAATAGTATAAAAACAAGCAAACATTTCCAATTCAGTCTCCTGGGAGATATATGTCTAGCTGATAAGAATGCCTCTTGACAGTCAGTCTTCTCCTCACTGTCTTACACACAAAAAAGGTGAGTATGACTAAGTAGGTCAACAGCAGAAAAGTCAGTTGCACTTCCAATTCACTACTGAAGCTCAAAACACACAAGGCTTTCCTTTTCACATCTCAAATAGCTCATGCAAAACTGCTCACCTGAAGAAACACTCTCTTTGGCTTCGGATTAGCAGGATTGGAGCTATATGGAAAAAATGTTCCACTGCAAACAAGGAGGAATGTAATTGCACATACCAAAGTTAAAGTCAGCAAGGTTTTTTTTGTGCTCTTGGCAAGGTAGATGAAGTTAATCTACAACACAAACCACAAACATAGAAATATTACAAATTCATGCTGGTAGTTGAAAGGTGTTTTTAACTAACTTTACTTTTAACAGGTATTATCTAACAGACCCCGAAGAAAATTTATCAGCAGGTGCTAGCATACTCCAACAACTAGTAAACAAAGCACTAACTCTAGGAGATTTCCATCACAGGTGAGAACCTAGAAAATGATAGATGCCTCCAATCTGCTATGATGGTGCCACCTTTTTAACACACAGCCATAAACCAACAGGAAAAAAGAGGACTGTCGCTATCCTCAATCAGCAAAAAGAACAGAAATGTAGATGTAATAGATTATTCATTAAATAACCAGAGATAAGCTTTAAGCTTAGACAGATCTGTTTGGACAAAACTCCAATTCCACTCATAATGCTTTAAATTTATGTCGGAATACTGAATTCATCTAAACTAGCATACAGATGTACCTTCAAGACTTTGCCGGTGGACCTGCATGTGAGGAAAAACTGCATTCCAAAGTAACATTATCCCTTTAGGTGACAAATTAACCAACGCCAACACAATCAAAACAACAAATCTGAACTTGGGCAATAAATGTAAATGACTGAGTTTCAAGGCTGGCATCCAGAAAAATCCTAAATATACTTATCTTAGCTTTTTAATTGTAATGAAATCACTGAACTAAAAACTGTAAGGGATATACACAACTCAGAATATTCCATAGATCCTTTACAAGGTCTGAAGAAGCCATTTGGGGAAACTATATGTGAAATTTTAAATTGTTCTAAGCAGCCACATTTTAAATATTGTGACTACTAGGAGAAAGAGGGACAGAAAGGGTGACAAATTTTGTTTTGCTAACTCACAGCCCCAAGTCCTCAGATACTCTGTCTTATTTTCGTACTCAATGTATACAAACGTGAGATGTGTGACCTAAGGCTAGCACTGTTTTGTTGCAGATGCCTCAGGATGGAATACTGGTACACTACAGACATAAAATTTAAATCCAGCTCCCCTTTTTGCCTTCTTCATTTTATTTCGCTACTTATTTTCATAAGTAGAGAAATAACATGAATGTGAATTTTTTCTTTTTGAGACAGAGTTTCCCTCTGTCACCCACGTTGGAGTACAGTGGCACAATTTCAGCTCATTGCAACCTCCACCTCACAGGTTCAAGCGATTCTTGTGCCTCAGCCTCCTGAGTAGCTGGGATTACAGGTGTGTGCCACCATGCTCAGCTAATTTTTATATTTTTAGTAGAGATGGGGTTTCACCATGTTGGCCAGGCTGGTCTGGAATTGCTTATCTTAAGTGATCCACCCGCCTCAGCCTCCCAAAGTGCTGGGATTACAGGCGTGAGCCACCACACCTAGCAAGCAATCAGTTAATAGGTGTCCTTGGGTATTCTTTGCTGGGCCTTCATGGTTATATGCATATTGACTGGACAAGGCTGAAATGAGGAATGCTGGTATGAGTGGGGTCGGGAGAAGAAGAGTCAGAAACAGCTCAGTCATCAGCATACACTGGACATTTCAGAGTCCCTTTTCATGCTTCTCTTCAATTTATTTTGTACCCATCTCAGAACCCAGAGTGACATAGGATGACATATTTCAGGAAGGCTGAGGCATGAGAATTGCTTGAACCTGGGAGGCGGAGGTTGCACAGAGCTGAGATCATGCCACTGCACTCTAGTATGGGAAATAGACTCCATCTCAAAAAAAAAAAAAAAAAGCCAACAAAAAATAAAACCTGATCACTTGACAAGACTTTAATTGCTTTCTAGCAGATATATTTAATAAATCCCCAAGGACTGAAGGAAAAGCTCTCTGAAATATGCATTGTGGTTCAATTCTCTATTACCCAAAGAAGGCAGTCTTACTGCTACACATAAATAAGAAAATGATTAAAAGACTGATAACTCATGGCATCAAAGTGTGACAGGGCTATTTCACATTAAAAATGAATATTAAGTGAGCTCTCTAAAGTATTCCAAGAGGCAGTCTTCCCTCTAAAAGCTTTTCCAATAAAATATAATTTAGAAGATAAGACATTTTAATCCTCTTTCTTCTGGTTTCCCAGATTTCCATGCTTTGGGGACATTTTCCATTTCCACAATGAACATCTCCAGGGTTCATTTTGCCCCCTTTCATATTATCAGTGGAACAGAATTTAAAAGTCCCATATCCGAGTCATCTTTTATGGATATCCATAGCTCCCATTCACTGAATATAATTTAAAAAATACACAAGGTTGGGGGCATTCTGTTCATAACTAGCTGACTTTTGATTAGAACCTAATCTACAGATGACGAAACTCCACGATCTGCTTTAATCCTTACAACAGCAAAACCTATCAAAAATACAGACGATATAAGGGTTAATATTAAACCAAAAAGAAGCAAACCCTTCAGGCAACAAAGAACATTTTAGAAGATTTCATCCATCCCTATGAATACCAATAAGGATTATCCTTATCCTTATATTACCCTTAATAATTATCCTGTAAGTAAAATGGTTGGAATGCTCAGATCTCTTTTAAGACTAGTATGGCAGATCTCAAACAATAATATGCATAAGAATTACTCTACAGAGTTATATACACAAAGCCACATACATAGAGCTTAAAGGCTATTTAAGGGACTTCTATGGATAATGCTGACCATGTGTGTAGTATTTTCCTTACCTGCTGTCTTTAGAATCTAACTTCCACAAAGTAAAGGGGTAAAGATGCCCTCTACTGTTATCAGTATGAAAAAACTCACTATCATCTCCACAAAGACAAGAACTATAATAAAGTCACAGCTCCTTTTTCTATTTGGTTCCCTATCCTCAAATTTCAAGGTGTACCTATAAGTGTTCAATAACTCCTTTTTATTTTTATGAATTTCAATCAAAAGAGCCACAAAACAGAGACCTGTCTTCTCTGGAGGGGCCCAGCCTGGGTCTTGGAGGTAGACACCAAGCCAAAGCAAAACCTCGCCTGGGGTTTGCTCTGCCAAAGGGGGATCTGTTCTTAAACTCTGCATCACTGTCTTTTTTCCCTCTGGGAAGTCCCAAGGGAAGAAAAAAAGAGATGGCAAACAGAGCTCTCCCTACTAGGACAGGACACCAATACAGCAAAATGAGGACTGACAAGGCCTGTGACAGTTTCATTATTTGGTAAATGAAGGCATGTTTAGATGTCATAACAGACTCAATTAATGAACTTTCATGTGCTAGCAACAAGGTAGTGGAATGATAATGAAAAAAGCCTCATTAGAATTGGTCTTCCTTCACTAGCTCTAACAGCACTAATAAAACCACCCATGTATTTATTAACATTTGCCTCTAATTAGTAATTTCAAAACACACTATTAGGATCATTCACCACCAGGCAATCTCTAACAATTCATACTTGGTAAGCGCTCTACAAATTCACACTCAGGTATACAAAAAGCTATATGAAAAGAGGTAAATTAAGAGAATTTGGAAGGATAGACAGGCAAAAATTTTTTAAATACCAACAACAAAAACTCCATTCTACAGTTTTTTACCATACCAAATTTACAAGATGCACAGCCATTCACCATTTCTTCTGCTGCAGATTTTCTCAATAAAGTACACATTATACTATTTCACAGAATCTAGTATGGCTAAACTCATATAAAAAATGAAGAAGAAAAAACTTATTTTCTCTTACAAAATAGGAAGAGAGAATCATTGCACAACCAGCCAAAATGGATGCCAGCACAACATCAGGTGGGATTTCGGAACCACTTCTCCCGAGGATAGGAGTAAACATCTCAAATACCGCCCAGATGAGGTACAATGCATAAAGATAAGGAATAAACATCCCCAAAAGGTAAAAAGTAAAAAATTTTCCTTGGGCACCTAGGGAAAAAAGAGAAAAAAGTACATATTTATGAAATCCTACAGTGAAGTATAAATTTTTATAGTACTGGTGTGCCTTGGTACCCTAACAGAAACTAGATTAGGTATGACTTTTGCCCTTAAGGGTATTTGTTATCTTGAAGTAGGATCTTTCACTCAAAAGGATAAAATAGAAATAAGAGTTAAGCAAAATACACAATATATTAGCATATGTTCACAAACATGAGAAAGGGATGGGGTATAAGGCATAAGATAATTTGTGTAGTGTGAAAACTTTTAAAAACAACTTAGAAAGTCTACTCGATAAAATAAAAAAAGAAAGAGTCCCTGAAAGCCTTATCTTATGTACTTTAAGGTATTCTCCCATGTGTATCAAAATAAAAAATGTCCTACCATGCTGCTTAAAGTCCTTATGCACACAGAGCTTTGTGAGCAATGGGAATGCTACCCAGACAGCACTAATAAATGCCGAGCAAAGTCCTTGGTAAGTGAGGGCTACAAGAAAACAGCAATGGACAAACAGCGAGACGTCAAAAAATACTTCTCCCAGATACTGGTCACTGGCATTCTGAAAGAAAGAAAAAATGCACAAGCAATCTCACTCACAGGTCATTCATAAAGAGCTTTTATTCTAGTAACACAATTTTCATCACTCAGGAAAATTATATTTTGTTTTAAACACGGTCTGCTCTTTAAACTGATTTAAAGTAAACACTAAGAAAGCTGCTTCCCATCATGAAGTAATAAATTCAAATTGCAGCATAAGGGCAGTTTAACCAGATAGAGTACAAATGCTCCATATACTCTATGATTTTCTTCTACTAGGCTAAAAGTAGAAATACTCCAAAACAGAAGAAAAGACTCTCCTAAAAAAACATTCCTCTCTCTAAGCTTTTCTGTTCATGCAAATTCCAAACACTGTTTCAGACAAACTAGAGAAACGACCTGTGAAGGAACATTACGAACTGCTGCAGCACCACCAATAGCCAACACGTGGAAAACTGCAGGACCTTTAAAGCAATCCGGAATTTGGCTTATTTTCCTGAGTCTTTTCTATCTCCAGTTGGTCTTGTACTGTACCTTTGCCCCCTTCTTGTATTCTTCATGCTTTAACATTATAAAATTTGATCTTATATTTTTTGAGATTTAAAGTCCAAGGGTTCTTGTGCAGCACCTTGCACTCTTAATTTTGAGACAGGCCCTTGCTCTGTTGTCTAGGCTGGAGTGCAGTGGTGCAATTCGGCTCACTGCAGTCTCAGCCTCCTGGGCTCAAGGGATCCTCCTGCCTCAGCATTCTGAGTAACTGGGACTATAGGCACACACCACCACACCCATCTACATTAAAAAAAAAAAAAAAATGCAGGGACAGGGTCTTGCCATGTTGCTCAGCCTTGTCTCAAACTCCTAGCCTCAAGCCATCTTCCCACCACAGCCTTCCAAAGCACAGGGATTACAGGTGAGAGCCACTGTGCCTGGCCTAATATGAACTTAAAATATTTTAACATCCACATGAGTGATTCTATTCACACAAACATGAAAGTTTTAATTACACTACATAAATACAAAGATGGAAATGGAGAAATAGATATATTTAAGTTTCTCCTTCCTCTGCCTTCCCATTTCTGTATAGCCCAGGGCATGTTTGTTCTAAGGGATCCTACTTCAAGAGCTCAACAGAGTCTGTGATATGTTTTCAAAACAAGTTGAAGTTCATTTGACAAACCTTCCCCACTCCCAACAATGAAAGATAGGCTACAGTTGCTAAATGTGTAAATTATTAACACAGTGCTGATCAAGAGGCTTGGTCTTTAAAAATAAGAAAATAATTCTTATTATTCAATTTGAAGCTGAATGACACACAGATATTTTAAAAACAAAGATCTCATTTTAAGTGCCCAAACTGTACCAAAGATAAAACATCCCTCCAATTTATTTTCCTACTCACCTCTATTTATCCCTTCCCCACTCCTGCTCCATTCCAATTCACTCTATATATTGCTATCCGTTTTCATACACGAATTCTCACACTAATCTGCTCAAAACATTTCAATAGTGGCCCCACTGATGTTTGGAATCATGCTCTCCCTTCACCTTGGCCTACTTTTCCAGTTACTGGACTGCCACCTTGTCTTCACCACACTGGACTTTCCATTAACTGACGCACATGCATTTTATACATTTCCGCCTTAAACTACTCATCTATTAGTTCTCCATCTAGTAAATGTCAACACATGCTTCAAAAACCCCATAAAGGCCAGGTGCAGTGGCTCACGCCTATAATCCCAACATTTTGGGAGGCTGAGGTTGGTGGGTCACTTGAGGCCAGGAGTTGGAGACCAGCCTGGCAAACATGGCAAAACCTTGTCTGTACCAAGAATACAAAATTTCGCTGGGCATGATGGGGCACATCTGTAGTCCCAGCTACTTGGGAGAATGAGGCAGGAGAACTGCTAGAATCATCAGGCAGAGGCTGCGGGAGTCAAGACTACTGCACTCCAGCCTGGGCAACACTGCAAGACTCTCTCCAAACAAACAAACAAACAAACAAACAATTCAAATGTTGCCATCTCAGCCACCCTGCCACAAGCAAATTCATCTCACCTCCCCTGTATTCCTATAGCACAGTTACATGTCAGTCTCACTTCACCCCACGACATAGAGCAATTATTGTCATTCCCACCCCTTCCCAAATGAAACTGAGAGCTCCTCAAAGAGATCAAATTCTTACGACTCTCCTATGGCATCATTCTTGTTTAATAATAATAATAATAATAATAATAATAATAGAGATGTGGTCTCACTTATGTTGCCCAGTCTCGTCTCAAACTCCTGGCCTCAAGCAGTCTTCCTGCCTTGGCCTCCCAGTGTTGGGATTACAGGTGTGAGCCACCGTGCCTTGTCTCTGATGGTATACCATGTTCACCGGGCACTTAAAGAATATTTGTGAAAAAATGAAACACATCACTCTTTCTATTGTGCTTCCAGCCTAAAGTATTACGATCAGACAACTGAAATTAGTAAATGAAATTTTATTAAGCATTTCTATCCTACTCCAGCCCCAATCAACGATAGTCAGCCACACTGTGGTCAAACACTATTACAATAAGAATAAGCATGTGAAACTGAGCCCCACGGTGTAATTCTTTTGGGAACTGAAGCCACTAAGATAAAAATATGAGCTCAACCATAAGCAGATGGCTAACCTCAAAGAACCTTTCTTCAACAAGGGCTGCTAACATGGAAGGGTTCCACAGAGCACATCCCAACATTAACTGAAACTGAGACCAAGGTTCAGATATGAAAGGCATGCTTGTGGAAGGATGCTGACTTATAATCATCCATGTCTCATTCAAAACCTTAACAGGATAAATTGAAAACAGTAGTTTTACATGGAGCTAAGATCTTCCTCTTTAATTCACAGTCTGAAACCATGTTGCTCTCTTTCACTGTCATTCATTTTTATACCTATTATTTTATAGCTTTTTAATTTTTATTTATTTTTTTGAGATAGGGCCTCACTCTGTCCCCCAGGCTGGAATGCTGTGGTACAATCACAGCTCACTGCAGCCTTGCTCTCCTGGGCTCAGGTGATCTTCCTACCTCAGCCTCCCAGACAGCAGGGACTACAGGGGCACACCATCATGCCTGGCTAATTTTTTGTATTGCTTGTGGAGACAGAGTTTCACCATGTTGCCCAGGCTGGTCTTGAACTCAAGCGATCTGCTTGCCTCAGCCTACCAAAGTGTTAAGATTACAGGCGTGAGCCACCGCACCCGGCCCATAGCCCTAATTCCTAATTTTATTTCTGCCAACAAACTTATCTATTTGAAACCATAACAATATTCTCAGTATAAATCATTTGGAACCCTATTTCCCTTCCCTCTGTTTTCCTTAGCAATGTGTTTTTAACCCCAATGACATACATGCGTGTAGAACCTGAATCAGCAATATATAGTTAAAAGAAAAAATAGTGAGGGAAACAACTGAAGAGAAAACTTTAAGTGCAACATCCTTTTAGGCAAGAAATACTTGCTGTGTGTTAGTGCTGTGTATCAGATACTACCGAAGCACAGAGGATACAGAAATAAATAAAACAATCCCTATCCTCAAGGAGTTTACACTCCAGTGGAGAACAGATTCTCAAATAACATAAGTAACTGGTTGAGCCCAGGGCACAGTTACAAAAACTGCAGCAAATTCAGTGGAAGGCTGCGCTAACAAGCCTTCCAAACACCACCACCCTAACACTGCTTATAGCCTGGCTTTATAATCTCATTTGAATTTTGTGACTTTATCCTCAGAATAAGAAATCTTCCAGAAAATTAACACAATGCGGGTGTATTTTCCATAACCAGGCTGAACAATTTTTTAGCACTTAAAAGATCAAATACAATGAATCCCACTTAAGTTGATCTTCAATCCTTGAAAGCTACAAAAAGAAATCAACAGATATACCAAACACTTACCATGTAATAAAATCTTTTTGCAAGAGTATGTATAAATATTATTTTGGCTACAGTTGCAGTTCCATACAGACAAACGGAGACATAGAAGTGGTTATACCATGACAGAGACTGTCCAATAAGAGAGATGAACACTGCTATAATGAGAACGGTAACAAGGCTAGTGAACCAGCTAATCACAGTGATCCCAAGTCCACACAAGAAGTCCTTCTTGTAGTTACCAGCTAATGAAAAGAAAACAAAAAGTTGAGATCATCATCTTCATCAAATCAATTACATAACCAGTCAGTAGAGCTAAATGGGAAAACATTAAAACAAAAAGCTTTCCACTGTAAATGAAAAATACATATATGTCCAAAGTGTTGAGGTTGGCAAATCACTAGAACAAGAGAGTTATCAAAGAATAATATTCAGGTAACATTTATTAAGAGTCTCTAGATACTAAATACTCAAAAAGATCAGTCTTCTAGGACTAGTTCAGGTATATTCCTCATGAAGGAGGAGGGCAGTCTTAATATTCTTCACTTTTGGTATGCTTTGTGTATCAAAACATTAGCAAGAATGGAAGGCAAAATTCCATATAAAATGTTCTTAAAAGAAGGTAACATAAGTAGATAACAAGTGTGGGAAAAATGAGCGGTGATAAAGAATTATTTAAATTCATGCTAAATATTTTATCTGGTAACACCACACAGCAACTTAGACTCTGAAACATTTCAAATAGAAACATTTCAAATAGAAGAAACAATTTAACCACAAGCAGTTCATTCAGACTTAAGACACTTACCCATTCTGGCTACTGGTCTGTCTGTGGACAAGACATTTTTCTCTTTTTTGAGACAGCATCTCAAACTGTTGCCTGGGTTGGAGTGCAATGGCACAATCTTGGCTCACTGCAACCTCCACCTCCCAAGTTCATGCAATTCTTCTGCCTCAGCCTCCCAAGTAGCTGGGATTACAGGCACATACCACCACACCTGACTAATTTTTTTGTATTTTTAGTAGAGAAAGGTTTTCACTGTAGCCAGACTATTCTCAAACTCCTGACCTCTTGATCCGCCCACCCCGGCCTCCCAAAGTGCTGGGATTACAGGCGTGAGCCACTGCGCCTGGATGGACAAGATTTTCTAATGGGACTTTTTAAGTCAATCTGTACATTTTTCAATAACTTCTATGTAGTACCTAACATGGAAGTAGTATGCCTACTTTCGGAGTCCCTAAATACATATAAGTTGAGTAGTTCTCCAAGATGAAAAGTATAATAAGAATATTAATATTTAAAAATTTATTATAATATAAAGCAAATATTGTCTTAAGATTTTGTTTTCTGGGAAGATATAAACAAACTGAAAAATTTCAAGCAAATTCTACAGTAATGCCAGTATTTGTAGTTTTAGAGGAAAATACTTACTCTTATGTTTGGGCTGCAACAATTTTTTACCCAGGTATAAAACAACAGCCATTACTACCATGTAGTTTATGATTGAGCCAATACGAGAGGGGTAGGCAATGACAAATAGGCCCAGCACATCAAAGAAGACCATGTTTCCATGTTGATACTTAGAAGCAGCAGCCAGCATATCAGATGTAGCTAGATGCTTAAGAACTGCTAAAATGTTGTCACCTATTAGTTAAAAAAAAAAAAGATAAAAGATAAAAAGGTTGAATAAACTGTAATTTACATGTACAACTATTTAAAGCAGAAATAAACTATCTACTGTTTGAATGAAAAAATGGTTAGAAACAATGTGAACAGAAATCGCTTTCTACCCTCCTACTGCTGTCTCTTTTTTCTTACCAAATTTCTCAAATAAGGTCCATCTCCCCTTCTCATTTCCTTTCCAGTCAGATGCTCAGCCAGCTGGTCTGTATCTTTTCCCTTCTACTAGAACTATTACCTGTGATCAACTGTACCCTCATTGTTGACAAATCCAATGGCTGTTTCTTAGTATCCATTCATTTAATAATATATATTAACTGTACCACACACTCTTCTAGATATCAGAAATTGAGTGGCGAACCAAGAGATAAAGGCCTTTTGCGAAGCTCACAGATGCTGAACAAGCTGTCAAACATGTTAAAAATCAAGACGGAGAGGTAGCAGAGTCCTATAGGAAAACATCATGGGAGACTCACAGAGCTACATTCTTACTGCTGCTCAGCAATCCTAACAAACCGTGGGCCAACTCCTTTTTCATTTCCTCACAATGAATATTCCTAACCTTAATTGATACACTAGACTACAGGACTAAAATTCAAGATCTCATCTCTCCAACGCCAAAGCCCTAGCTCATTCACACTGTATACTGCCTCTTTAATGCGTAGACCACAGAATATGTACACATTTATGTATTATCCCTAATATTCCATCTTAGTATATATCAGAAGTCTAAATTAGAATACCAACCTGCTCTCTGAATGGAATCCGTAAGAATTCTGTCTGCCGTGTCATACTTGGTGTGATAAATGTATCCATTCTCAATAAAAGCTAAGTCTATTCCTAAGATATACAGAGGGGAAAAAAAGTCATTTTAAAGATCAACCTTGGTTTAGGCCTATTTGTTTAATAAATTCCTAGAAGACAAAATGTCAAAGCAGTGGCATGACTGCTTTGTCACATTTATAAATGAATGACATAAATTATCTTCCAAATTCTTACACAACTTATAACTTTGGTACGTAATTTGATAAATAGTGATTGAAGAAGTGTATTACTCCACGGGGAGGCATTAAAAGTCACACAGCAAGGGTAGGAATATTGAGTTGGGAGGCCATCAAAATTTTGCCACCTACGTTCTTGCCAGGCCAAAGCCAAATTTAACTTCAAATAAGACAAGCTGCCAAGGGAGTTGGCAAAGCAAGACAACAACAAAAAGACCCCTGAAGGATCTATTACCATCTTTTGGGAAGGAGGTGCTAAACAGTTCTTCCCTGTTCTTCTGTCACATTATGAGGCAAGATGACATATTCTAGAGGAGGCAAGCATTTAAATTAGTATGGAGTTTTAAAAAGCATTAGGAACTCTGTTTTAGTGAGTCAGAATGTATATTTCTCAGATAAAGAAATTGTTTCAGAAAATGCTGTTTACTCATAAACTTTCAAGATTAAAACTTGCTTTTGATAAATAAATATTGCACAACAGGCCATAACCATTGAAAATATACCTGGGATGTTCCCAAAATCCCTGTAGATACGGAAGTCAGTATCTGAAGGAATGATTCCACTCTGAAAAACCTCCTGAGCCACCACAGAAGCAAAAGGGTGTTTAGCTGCTGAAACATAAGCTTGAACCAACCAAGGATTTTCAGGACCTAAAATGAAATGTGACAACACAATAGAAGGTTATTCTGGCAAATTTTTTTTTTAACATACTGTTTTTCAACACATTGAAAACAGTAACAGTGGTAGTTTTGGAAGATTCGTTCAAAATATATCTTTTCTTCCCTTTTTCTGTAGTTTCCAATGTTTCTCTTATACGTGTCTGACTTTTAGAAAAAATAACCTCTTGTGAAAATAAAATTATTTTAAAGTATAAAATAACAGCAATACAAAAAGTCTGTCTGGGCCGGGTGCGGTGGCTCACGCCTGTAATCCCAGCACTTTGGGAGGCCAATGCAGCCATATCACAAAGTCAAGAGATCAAGACCATCCCGGCCAACATGGAGTAACCTCAGCTCTACTAAAAACACAAAAATTAGCTGGGCATGGTGGTGCACAACTGTATTCCCAGCTACTCGGGAGACTGAGGCAGGAGAATTGCTTGAACCTTGGGAGGCAGAGGGTTGCAGTGAACCGAAATTGCACCACTGCACTCCAACCTGGCAACAGAGCAAGACTCAGTCTCAACAAAAAAAACAAAGTAACTGTCTGAAAATGAAAGATCATTCATAAATCTATCATCCTAAAATACCTATTATCAATTTTATATCTTTAATTTTCTTACTAATATAGGATTGTATGTAGCTATACTCAATGAAGATATCTATACTTTGGATATTATTTTTTCAATTAACATTATATTAAATGCATTGTCCTATGTTGCTAGATACAAGTTGTGTATACATTATCTGAAATGCTTGGGAGCAGAAGAATTTTGGATTTTTGACTTTTTTGGATTTTGGAATGTCTGCACTATTCTAGTCAGCATCCTTAATCCAAAAATCCAAAATCAGAAATGCTCCAATGAACATTTTTTTTGAGCATCAGCTCAAAAAGTTTTGAATTGTGGAACATTATGGATTGCAAATTTTCAGGTCAGGGATGCTCAATATGTAATACAATAATCATTTTGATAAATGCTTAACATTTCAGTGAATACGCCATAAAGTTCCCTGCTACTTTTTATAATTTGTCATTATTAATAATTTTCCATCTGTATCTTATACATCTACAGTTTTCAAACAGGAGTTTCCCCTTTAGGATATTGGGATAAATTGTATTATAATTTATATAATTATAATTATGTAATTATATGTATAATTATATAATTATTCACTCTTCCTTCCCTGAAAAAGGATTATACATTCCTACTCTTGCCACATAACTTGTAATGCCTGCCTGGAGAACGAGTATATACTCTTTCTTCTGTACCTACTAACTGCAGACATGGATACATTACTTGCTCTGGTCAACAGTGTAAGGAGAAATGATATGACCCTCAACTGAGCAGACTTCTCAAAGACATTAACATCATTCATACCTACCTTTAACTTTGATTTGTGAGATCAATACATCCCTAATAGGGGTTTCCCCTTCAGCCTGGATCCCAGAATGAATAAGACACATGGAATATAATAACCATGGATCATAACTGCAGTTATTCAGAAAATAGAATGCAAGAAATAAGCCTTTTCTGTTGTAAACCACTAGGATTTGGGGGCTCTTACCACAAAATTTAGCAACAGATTTACTGATGTAAACAAACCAAGTAACTGAATGTCAGGGAATCTAAGAATATTATTTTTGTAACTTAACAGATTATAAAATTGCTTTCCTACATTAAAAAAAAATGACCAAGGCTGGATGCAGTGGCTCACACATGTAATCCCAGCACTCTCGGAGGCCAAAATGGGCAGAGCACCTGAGGTTAGGCATTCAAGACCAGCCTGGTCAACATGGCAAAACCCTGCCTCTACTAAAAATGCAAAAATTAGCCGGGCATGGTGGCGCATGCATGCTGCTTGGGAGGCTGAGGCAGGAGAATCACTTAAACCAGGGAGGCAGAAGTTGCAGTGAGCCAAGATTGCACCACTGCACTCCAGCCTGGTGACAGAGTGAGACTCCATCTCAAAAAATAAAAATAGTATTAAAAAAATTTTAAATGACCAAATAAAGCAGAGAGACACTACAGAAAAAGACACATAGGTAACCCAGATACTGGAGTTACCAGATTTTTTAAATGGTTAATATGTTTTTAAAAACACAGATAATATCAATTTTACCAGACAAGTGTAATCCATTTAAAAGAGTCAAATGGAAATCCTAGAACTGAAAAACACAGCTGATGTTGAGAATTTTAATAAATGGGCTTAACACAAAGTTTAATACAGCAGCAGAAGGGATTAAAATTAAAGCATACAAAGAAAAAAATGTTGGAAAATACACAAATGTGAGTAATTGGGAGTCCCAAAAGATCAGAAGATAGAATGGAGAAAACAAATGCTTTAACACTTAATGGCCAAGAATCTTCCAAAACTCATAGAACTCAAGCATGAATGCAAAAAGGTCTACAAACTCCAAACAAAATAAATATAAAGAAAAACCGTATCTGGCAGCATTTACTTTTGAATACTATTCCTCACCAAAAGAAACCAAGTCTCCTTAGAGAAATGGCTGATTCCAGGTCTGGGACTACCAAAGTACGAGGTAAGTTGAAACACCTGTGTCAGAAAGCAAGACAGTGCTATACAAGACATGCCAAAGGGGCTCAGGCACTGTTTTGAAGTAGACACCACTGGCCTAAACTGGGACAATTCATGCAACAAAATAAATGACAGTAACAGGATATATAATCTACAGAGTAAAATTAAAATATATAAAGTACTGAAATAACAAAAGAATGAAAATTGGAAAGCCTTCCTTCTAAGATAATTCCAACTATTATCTACAGGAAGAATGATGAAGCCAGAAACTCAGCATTAGCATTTGGTAACATTATAATAAAAATGTTTGGGGACAAGAGCCATCAATGATTACTAAAACTAGGATCAAAGTTTTATGGCAAACAAGATATTTAAAGTATTTATCACTAAGGGGAAAACAGTAACTTGTACAAAGATAATAGAAAAACCTGGCAAATAAATATCTTAATGAAAATATAATGTCAATAATTAATAATGAGACAAATAGATATTACATGCCTCCTGATGTGTTGAACTGAGAAGGACACAAATACAAAAGGAAAAAAAATGATGGGGACATACACAGATTATATGAGACTTTATCATATCAAAATACTATTATATTACTTTGATATTAATAAATTTATACTAAAAAATATGATGAAAACTGTACTGAAAAACAGGTAAAGCCAAACTATAATTAATTATCTTAAAAATTATCCTTTTAGATGGGAGGGAGTTGTATTTGAGAAGAGACAGATTTAAAAAAAATGCCTAGGCGGGCAAGGCAATCCACCCTCTTTCATGAGGCAGGGTTGGAAAGATTTTCACCTTACAATAATTAAGTCTTCAACTTTTTTTTTTGACATGTGTTAAATAATGATTATGATTTATTTAACAATGCATGTTAATTAAATGCTATATTTGATCCCAGATGTTTTAAATGGCTAGGACATTAATGGAACAAATGGAAAAATCTAAATATGCATTATTTATTATAGTTTGTTTATTATAGCATGTAATCAATGTTCAGTTATAGAAGAGCATGTTTCTTTATCTGAGACGATCATCCTCAGATCATTGATTACATAATTTTTCAGACTGGTGCCACCCTTGATATTGATCTTTGTAGCCAAGGATAATTATCTCAAAAAAATATAATCCTCTTCATTTTTCCTTTAAAAACTTTTGTCTTCCTTTACTGCCCTAGTTTACTATGGCACACAGTTTCACAGTTTACTATGGCACATGTATTCCTACCACAATGTCCATTACTAAATAAATGCCATCTTTGAGAGTCTCCCTCTGTCCGTTATTCAGATTAACAACCTCACATACATTACACTAAGATAAAAAAAAAAAAAGTACAGACACAAAGACCACGTATTGTATGATTATATTTATATGAAATGTCTACAACAGGCAAATCTTTGGAGACATAAAGTAGTCAGGTAGTTGCCTAGGGATGGGGGAAAAGGAATGACTGCTAGTGAGTTTCCTATTTGGGATGATAAAAACATTCTAAAATTGATAATGATGATGATTGCACAACTGTGAATTACAGATCTCAATAAAGCTGTAATTTAAAAAAAAGAATTGATTCTAAAGAAGGCTACAGGCCAGGCATGGCGGCTCACACCTGTAATCCCAGCACTTTGGGAAGCTGAGAAGGCGGATCACCTGAGCTCAGGAGTTCGAGACCAGCCTGGCCAACATGGTGAAACCTCGTCTCTACTAAAAATACAAAAATTAGCCAGGCGTGGTGGTGCACACCCGTAATCCCAGTTACGTGGAGGGCTGAGGCAGGAGAATCACTTGATCCCAGGAGGCGGAGGGTGCAGTGAGCTGAGATCACGCCACTGCACTCCAGTCTGGGCAACAGAGCAAGACTCCATCTCAAAAAAAAAAAGGTGGCTATAAAGTAGCAGTTCAAATATGATTCTATTTTTGCAAGAAATATATATACATATACGTACATATATATTAATGTTTGCACTTAGAAAAAAATCCGGAAGAGTATAGACTAAACTATAACCCTGGTGTGCTCTGGATGGCAGAATTACAGGGGCATGAATATTTTCTCAAAAGGAAAATACAATTCTGTGACCCTTTTGCAATCAAGCCTCTCTCATTTAGGAAATGAGGTCACTGGTCTGATAAAATCAAGTCATTCTTTCTGGCCCTTCTTAAAAATTATGTAGTAATGATTATTCCAGTCACTAAAAACTTGCCAAATGAATGTCTATTTCTGAACTGACAATGGAGTTCTAGAGCACAAACTGCTTTAAACAAAAAGTTTCCAGGACAGGACAAGTATTATCACACAGAAAAAGAAGTCTTGTTTAAAAAGCTGAGGACAGCATGATCTGGCATACACTCTCAAGCACAACTCCAAACCAGGCAGCCCTTTATCCTTTTTTAGTTAAACATGCAAATAACACTAACTAGCTTTTTGAAAGCCATCCCCATGAGAAAGGTAGTTTTTTGTAGGCAGTGGCATTAAAAGAGAGAGAGATGCTGGGAAAGGTATTAGAATGTCAGAAAGCACCCGGAAAGCTTTCAGGCATGCAGTTTGGCCATAAGAAGAAGCTCCAAAATCTGGAGGAAAAAAAATCACGTAAGAATTCAGAGAAAAGAGGGAGATAGCCTCTTCAAATCTTTAGTAGGGTGCTCCTCCAAAAAAAATTAACTTTGAAATATGGCGACTTTAAAATGAGTAAAACATTTAAATTTTATGTTTACACTAGCGAGTCATAAATCTGGTTTTTGCTTTATTATTAAAGTGATCATATATGTTGCAAAAGTTTCAATACATAAAATTATAGAGTATAAGTAATGCATTAATAACAATCAATTCCGGTCTTAAATTCATGAAACAACAGAGAATTTAAACTGCTGTTTTACCTTTAACCCAGTCCTCCATTTAAGTGACACTTACCCGCTAGTAGCAACTGCTCAACATGTAGAAAGGACCAACATCAACAGTTTGTATACATCCTTTTAGATAATTTAATTATTTTTAGAATTTATGCAGCTGCAGAATTTTTATCTAAAACCATATACATTTAATAAAAAGAGTAAGGACTCTGGGCTAGGCAGGTCTACCAAAAGTGAGTTTTTTAATAGATGTCAATAAGTAACGGCTAGTCAGTCTGGACCTGACTATCCATTACTAAGTGTGTTTTAAACTTTTTGGACTACACATATGTAAAATATGTTAATATATGTGCATAAAGTACTTATGCATTAATATTTATGTAATAGAAAAAAATCCAGGAAGGGTAGATTAAACAATAAGGCTGGTTTTTCTCTGGACAGGAGTGTAGGGGTAAGGTGCTGTGATAACATACTAAAACCATGGAGATGAAAGCACTTAACATATAGCATACTTCAACATAGAAAATATACATACACACTCCTCCCTACATGGAGCCCCGAGATTTTTCACAAGAGGAAAGAAAAACTGAGTGTCCTCTCTGCTTACAGTATTTTCTTTTGCTGCTTTTTGATCTGGTGGTTGTTATCTGTACGTGTTCCTCCTATCTTGAGTGACATCCAAGAAAAAGAAAGAGGCTGGGCGTGGTGGCTCATGCCTGTAATCCCAGCACTTTGGGAGGCTGAAGTAGGCAGACTGCTTGAGCTCTGGAGTTAGAAACCAGCCTGGGCAACCTGGCCAAACTCCATCTTTACAAAAAAATAAAATAAAGTAACAAATTATGCAGTCCCAGCTACTCAGGAAGCTGAGGTGGCAGGATCTCTTGAGCCCTCAAGGTGGAGGTTGTACTGAGATGAGATCGTACCACTGCACTCCCGCCTGGGTGACAGAGTGAGACCCTGCTCAAAAAAAAAAAAAAAAAAAAAAAAAATTTTATATATATATATATATATATATCTATAATAGTGTAGACTCTACTTACTCCTGCAGATATTAGATCCCTGCTTCTTCTCATTAAAGAGTAAAGAGTAATAAAGGAGAAAGATTTGAGACTTAAAAATAGAACCTTGCTGCTTCTGACATCATGACCTTGAGATTGTCAAACGCTTAGCTGAAGTAAAATATACATATATTTTGAAAGACAAAAGCTTAAAATAAGATCAATGGAGACTATTAAAATACAGTATTGTTTAGATTACGAAGACATACTTAGGACTTAGCATAGCTTCACAATTTAAATAAAATCAGGTCTTAAGAGGGTGCTACAAAACAAGTTCCCACATCATCTCACTTCCCCCAGCCCATCTCGGCATGCAACACACTATTCAACATTAAAACATTCAGCAAATGCTACATCTCTGGATAAAATGCATTCTAACAGGGCAGGGAGATGGAATGGAACTTTTAATGTCAAATTTTAGTATGCCCTGACTAAACAAATCTATGAGCTTTGAATTTTGTTAACAAAAACAGTTAAAACCCATGTATGCCTGAGGCTGCAATTTTTTGAATTTTTACATGTGTGAAAAATCAGACCTTGGTGACCCCCTTGAGCAGAAAGATATAAATAACTCACACAGGCTTAGTGTTTCAATAATGGGACACTAGGCATAAATGGGCTAAGCTGATATTTATCAACTCTATCCTGCTATCCTTAGAAAAATTTAATCATAAAACTAAAACTATTTCTCTAGGCCAGGCATGGTGATTCACGCTTGTAATCCCAGCACTTTGGGAGGTCAAGGCAAGAGGATCACTTAAACCCAGGAGTTTGAGATCTGCCTAGGCAACACAATGGGAGCCTGTCTCTACAAAAACATTTTAAAATTAGCCAGGCGTGATGGCAAGCACCTGCAGTGCCAGCTACTCAAGAAGCTGAGGCAGGAGAATCACTTAAACCCAGGAGGTCAAGACTGCATGATGGCACCACTGCACTTGAGCATGGCTCTGTCTCTAAAAAAAAATAAATAAAACAAAAATTCTTCTGGCTGATTAAATATTACTAAATTTTTTTAACATTCCATTAAATCAATGATAAATTTAAACCTGTTAAACTACAGGCAAGTTTTCTCATTTTAATTCATGAAATGATTGACATTTAAAATTATTTATATCATAATCACCCATGGTGGCTAAAAGTTCACTACCTATATAACAACCTAGTTGGAGGTTGAGAACAAAGTCTCTCAACCTGGACTGTCTAGGTTCAAACTGCACTCTGCCATTAACCATCTGTGAAACCTTATGCAAGTTATAATCTTTCTGGACTCAGTTTCATCTCTAAAATGGAAATAACAGTACTTATCTTACATGTTGTTTGCAGAATTCATTGACAATATATGCAAAATGCTTTCAACAACACTTGGCATATAATAAGCACTATACAAGTGTTAGATGCTATATTATTTTGTTCAATATTTTTAACAAAGACAAGCTAACACCACCTCATGCTTTCAGAATGTTCATTCAAAAGACTGTTTATTAAAGAGATCACTTACAACCAAAAACTTCCAACTTTTATAAAAACCAGAATTGCACTGAAATATACAACCCACAGTCTCACATACCTGTTTGGAATACGAGTTCTTTCCCTCCTACACCTGCTGCCTCCAGGTTAATGAATGCACGAATCAAGCTAGCCCAGGGATGCTGAGTAATGAAACCATGACTGGCCTTAATGAGAAGGAAAGAAAACAAATATTTGTTAAACAATCTTAAACTATCAGTCCTGATTTTGCTTAAACACAGAGAGCCTATTTTGATGAGGTAAGGACGATGAAAACAAAAAAAATCACTCTTCAAAGGCAGTATCCAAAGACATTTTCTGCTTCTTTTTTCTATGCATAAAGGCTATGCACATCATGGGTTTGGAAAGTCACCCATCACAGAAGGCAGCCTGATTACCATTAGTGGTGCCAAACAATATCCCTGGTAAGCACAAGACTGTACAAAAGAAAAGGCAAAGAGGGCTGGGCACGGTAGCTCACGCCTGTAATCCCAAAACTTTGGGAGGCCAAGGTGGGAAGATCACCTGAGCTTGGGAGTTTGAGACCAGCCTGGACAACACAGTAAGAACCCATTTCTTTTTAAAAAGAAAAAAAAAAAAGAGAACAAAAGAGACAATCCATATGGCTGGGCATTTGTTTGTGCCAGTCTCAAAACATCTCTGAAACCTCAAAGTCAAAGAAAACCTGAGAAGGGTAATTATGCCATCAAAGAGCCCTTCTGTGAATCAAACACTGCCACAATGATCCACTGAGTGAAGTTTTCCAAATATTAAACATCTCTACATATATGGTTGTGAATTTTTTATTTAGTGTTTAGTGTATATATAGTATTTTCTGCATATCATTTTATACTACCCACAGGAGTAATAAAAAATGCATTTAAGTGTTAGCTATTATTATTCTCATCCTTATTCAAGTCTAATAATGAAAACAGTAAAATCTCACTTGCAAGACATTTTCCTCAGCACCATTAAAGAGAAATATGACAGCATGATGCAAGGCTTCTGAAGATGTTGACAAGACACGAAGGACCTCCAGCATCACTGAGCAGCTAACTGCATCATCACTGGCACCTTTAAATCAGAAAAACAGATTTGCTGCTCAGATTTTAAAATCTTTACAACATGACCCACTAGGACTAGGAATGGAGTTCTTTCCCCGCCTCCCCCCACCCCAGAGAAGCATCACAATAGCCACATGACCAGAAGCATAGCTCTGTCATCATCAGGTGACAATTACATCCACCAGCGGCAAGTTCCATGACGGGATCTTTGTCTGGTTTGCTCACTGACTTACTCTCAATGCCTACAACCAGGCCTGACCCACCACAGTCACTCAATTAGTGTCTGCTAAATAAAGCAACCTGAGGGGACCTAATGTCATACTGGAAACTGGTATTCTCAACAAACCAAAGAAATCTGTTCCATTCTTTACCCGTATTCCACATCCTCTCTAATAATCTCACAGCTTCCTGCATCACAGCTTCCTGCCTCATCCCCCACTGCACCCACTCCTTTCTTGCTTGTTTTCCTGCCAGAATCACAAAAGCTGCACAGAGAGGTCATTTTAGATGGTGTAACATTCCTTAAAGGTTTCTCCAAAGGGACTATGTGATGAAAAAGTATAAAGAAAATAACAAGACAGAGGAAAAACGACTAATGACGTAAGTAGTATTCTTGGTCCCAGAACACATACTCAGTTGAACCTCTGAACCTCTTCTTGATTCAGAAACTGTATATGTTAATAAAAACTAACTATAAAAACGACTTCACTGTCTTGCTTTTTTAAAGCTCTGTAAGAGGTAGTTCAAGGAACTGATTGGATATTTGGTGATACCAAGGAATTATTGTTAGGTTTTTTTAGGTGAGGCAACTTGTGGTAGTATATCAAAAAAGGGCCCTTATCTTACAGCAATACAGACTGAAATATTTTTACAGAGGAACTAATATAGCTAACATCTGCTTCAAAATAATCACGAAGTTGGGAGGGTAGTGGCAGGAAAGAAACAAGATCAGACTGCTGAAGCTGGGGGATAAGTACATTGGGGTTCATTAAACAATTCTGCTTTTTAAATATATTTGAAATTTTCTATAACCAAAAACTTAAGAGTAATCGAAGTAAATAAGCACTATTATAACTCAGGCAATAACATTTCCGGGTTTAAACACTCAGAAGCAGAGTGCCAAAGAGTTTAGCATAGATTTGAGAGCAAGAAATATGTGGAAGTCAATTTGAGCTCTATCACTTTACTCCACTATTTCCTGGTTTAAAGAGCAAGCTAATGATACCTACCTCACAGTTTTGTTATAAGGGTCATACCAGATAATGGCCGGTGCCTAGCACCTGGGAGGCATTTAATATTCATTTTCCCTTCTCTTTGCAAATCTGAGGAAGGCTCTGTAGCTAGCTAAAATTAAAATGCTGTTTGGGCTTTGTTAAATTCCAGACCCCCTTCCTACTTAAGAAGAAACTTTTTTTTTTTTTTTTGAGATGAGGTTTTGCTCTTGTTGCTCAGGCTGAAGTACAATGGCACAATCTCAGCTCACTGCAACCTCTGCCTCCCGGGTTTAAGCAGTTCTCCTGCCTCAGCCTCCAGAGTAGCTGAGATTACAGGCATGTGCCACCACACCTGGCTAACTTTATATTTTTAGTAGAGTCAGGGTTTCACCATGTTGGCCAGGCCAGTCTCAAACTCCTGCAGGTGATCTGCCCACCTCGACCAAAACTACTTATTAACCACACTTGTCTAAGTGGTGATTACTGGTCTGCATTTCAATCTAAGTGAAACAAAGTAATATCTAATCACTATCAAATAGAAAATGCTGCTATTAGCAAAAAGTGTCACCCTCCAAAACCCTCATGAAATAAACTCTTTTTTTGACACTGTAAGTTACTTTAAAATAGAAAGCAAATAATAAGATGTTTAATTCAAAAAAAGAGAAAGGGAAATTCAAAGGTATCTATACAGGGTTGATTAAAAAGTTAAATTGTCCGTTCAGTATCCCCTATTTTAAGGTTCTGGTGTGTTAGAAGAGAACTACAGAAGGGTCAAATATCTAAGAAAGTGAAGGAAAGTTAAGAGGACAGTCTTAGAAGGGCTAGGTGCTTAACTGACATCCCTTTCCATTTAGAATTAACCTTGAAATTGAAACCACCCACAAAATAACTCAGTGCCTCTTCTACCAATGACCTGGAACCACACAGCAGACTCAAAAAGATAATTAAGGCTTTTCTGTGGATAACATTACTCCTAATTGGTATCAATACCCGAGTCCCAGATACACAGCTGAGAACATAAAAAGAAACAAGAAGTACTTCAATTAGGTCATCCACCAAAAGGATCTAGGTGATAGTCTATTGCAGGGGTGTCCAATCCTTTAGCTTCCATGGGCCACATTAGAAGAATTGTCTTGGGCCACATAAAAAATACACTAACACTAACAACCACTGAGGGGCTAAAAAAAAAAAAAAATTACAAAAAAATCTCATGTTTTGAGAAAGTTTACCAATTTGTTTTGGACCACATTCAAAGCTGCCCAGGGTCGCTGGCTGGACAAGCTTGGTCTACTTTATGAATATGTGAAACACTATTTTTAACAATTTATTATTTACAGAAATTTCCTTAAGATTGTTGCTAAGGATATTCTTTTTTTTTTTTTTTTTTTTTGAGAAGGAGTTTCACTCTTGTTACCCAGGCTGGAGTGTAATGGAGCGATCTCGGCTCAACGCAATCTCCGCCTCCTGGGTTCAGGCAATTCTCCTGCCTCAGCCTCCTGAGTAGCTGGGATTACAGGCACGCGCCACCATGCCCAGCTAATTTTTTTGTATTTTTAGTAGAGACGGGGTTTCACCATGTTGACCAGGATGGTCTCGATCTCTTGACCTCGTGATCCACCTGCCTCGGCCTCCCAAAGTGCCGGGATTACAGGCGTGAGCCACCGCGCCCAGCCGCTAAGGGTATTCTTATAAAATTTTAGTTAAAAGTAGGTTCTAGGCCAGGCACAGTGGCTCCCACCTGTAATCCTAGCACTTGAGAGGATGAGGCAGAATTATCACTTCAGGAGTTCAAGACCAGCCCGGGCAACAAAGTGAGAATTTGTCTCTATTATTTAAAAAGAAAAAACAATAAAAAGAAAAAGTGCATTCTCATGACTTAGAAAAATGCTGACCTCTAGTAATTAGACTGTGCATATACAATTTGTAACATTTGGCACTATGTTTGTAAAGGGTAACTTAATATGCCACTCCAAAATATGTCACTTTGGCATATCGGTTACTTTGAGCTGAAGGCAACTGAGAAGTAGGTACTATACAAAAAAGCTCTCTGCCCTCTCCTTATTTGCCTAAAAGCAGGATATAAATTTACCAACGTGTCCCGCTTCCCTTCTCCACCAGAAAGTACAAAGGTTGATCACAAAAGACAACTTTAAACTCTTAGTGGCTTGGTGACCTTTATGTACCATTTATTTGCCTTCCTACAATTTGCCACCCCTGGAAACTCAAGGTACTTTTCCTTTCTTTTGTCACTTCTCTAAAAATGTACTGTTTTGTAGAAGACACTACATAAGCCAGATTTCTAAGCCACCTCTTTGAGATTTACTCATTTTCCCTGAGTATCTCCCATGTACATGAAGTGCATGTGTTAATAAACATCTATTTGATTTTTCTCTTTTTAGCTTGCCTTGTGTTACAGGGGTCCACCAGTTAAAAACTAAGAATGGTAGAAGGGAAACTTTTCTTTTGTCCCTACATTTGCTTCTAATTCTTGTATACACAGCCTTCTTATATAAAGTTAAGCAACCATGGTGTTTATTTGCCCCTTCCCAGAATTTAAGCATTGCTAATAGTGGGCAAAGGGTGACATTTACTACAGTTTTGAAATGGACATTTAAAAAAAAAACCACAGTGGTGGCTGGGCGCAGTGTAATCCCAGCACTTTGGGAGGCTGAGGCAGGTGGACCACGTGAGGTAAGGAGTTCAAGACCAGCCTGGCCTACATGGTAAAACACAGTCACTACCAAAAATATAAAAAAATTAGCTGGGTGTGATGGCACAGCAGGAGAATCACTTGAACTCAGGAGGCAAGGATGCAGTGAGATGAGATTGTGCCACTGCACTCCAGTCTGGCGACAGAGTAACACTCGGTCTCAAAAAAAAAAAAAAAAAAAAAAAAAAAAAACCACTAGTTACCCCAGTAGCACACAAAAGTACTTCTGGCTTATTTATACTGATTTTTGAAAATGCAAGTTACATTCTAAATGCAAATGTCAAGCTTTCTAAATGAAGATATTCTAATATGTATCATTTTATCAAACAAATTTTACTTACATTTTGTGTAACTCTAGATGTTCAAATTGGGCCCACTATAAGTTTAAGCAATCCAGAAGTGTTAATACTATGTAAGAGTTAATAGAAACTTTTAAAAAACATTTTCCATGCCAGGTACTATTTTAATGTTTTACTTATATTTACTCCTCCCAGTAACACTATTAGGAAAGCACTATTATTTTCTCCATTTCACAGACGAGAAACTAAGAAGTTAAGCAATTTGTGAAAGAGAGTATTAATTACGCTCTAATATTCTTTTTCCATTCAAATGTAGCTGAAAGAACTGACTGGCCAGGAAATCCAGCACCTTATCCCAGTTTTGTCTCTGATCAGTGATGATCAGCTAAATTTACTCCTGTGTCAAATGAGAGGGTTGAGCCAGATGTCATCTCAGGTCTCATCTTCCCCTAAAATGCTACACCATTGAAAAATGCTATTTTCTATCCATACTTACAATGCCTTTAACCACTGAAAACAATTTTCTGAAGAATAAATATTTTAATAAATGGAAGTTCAATTTAGGGGATTCTCATTCATTTAACAACTATTTATTATGTCAAGCATTGCCTTAATTGTAAGTGTTCTGTTTTGCCAAATTATTTTCAGAGATTTACAGATTAATTAGGTACTTTAACAGTATGGCATCCTCAGTGGACCAAAATTCTCACGTTATAGGTCAACAGAATCTGCTATGAGAGATAGCCCCCAAACCACAGCCTGGGACAGCTTTGAATGCAGCCCAAAACAAATTCGTAAACTTTCTTAAAACATGAGATTGTTCTGGATTTTTTTTTTTTTTTTTTTTTTTAAGCTCCTCAGCTATTGTTAGTGTATTTTACGTGTGGCCAATGACAATTCTGCTTCTTCCAGTGTGGCCCAGGGCAGCCAAAAGATTGGACACCCTTGTTCTAGAACCATGCATCCCTTGAAGGCAGGGACTGTCCTTACCTGGTATCTTCAAAGTCTAGTATAACAGTCAGCTAAGTAAAACACTTTTTAAGTGTCAGAAACCTAACTCCAGGACACAAGGACACACACACTGTCTGGTAACATTGAGAAGGCTGTTTCAGTCTACCAGGAATATTCCAAATCTTGTCACTGGGCTGCTGGCATTAATACCAAAAAAATAATATTAATAAAACAAGAGAATACGGAATGGTTAGATCCTAAACTAAATGATACTATCCTAATTATCCTGCTTTCCATCACAAATAAAAAAGGTTTGCCCAAGAAAATGGTCCCCACAATTGCCCAAGTAGCTTGGGTTATGTTAACAAACTTTCTTGGCTGTAACAACTTCCAAATGACTAAAAACACAGGTACATACCTGGTGAGTTTGCTACTGAGTCAAAATGACAGTTAGCCAAGATAGCATGCTGGGCTCCATCTCTGGGTTCCAGCTTTACCACAACATTGGTGATGTTGTCATAATAGCTTGTAAAACCTCCCAAGAAATCAATGCTAAAAGAGCCTGTGGGCCGTTGCACATCTACTGAAATCCTATGAAGGCTGTTGCTTTGCACTTCAATCAGTTTAATCTGTTCCAAAAGGTAGTGCACTGTCAGAATTTCATTTTCTGGACTTCCTGTAGTCCTGGGGCCAATGGAGGTTATGTGTTCAAGATAATCCCTGGAAGTGACCAAAAGAGTAACAAAGGTTTGTAGTTAAAATTGACACTTAGCATGGGTTAACTTTTCCAATACACACAACTTCCTCCCCCAGAAAGCTTAGTTCTTTGACTTCTCATATAAAAAGGACTGCCTTTTATTATTTCAGACACCAAGTGAACATCACTTGTAAGATTCCATGATTTTATTTTTGCCTCCCACGAGTTTACCCCCTCAGTTTTCTCCACCATCCCACTCGCAACTTCTCCCTGTATCAAACCAATACAAAGCCTAGGGATGTATTCAAAACGTGTGACCATTGGCAGGGTGCTGTGGCTCACGCCTGTAATCCCAGCATTTTGGGAGGCCAAGGCAGGTGTATTGTTTGACTCAGGAGTTTGAGACCAGCCTGGGCAAGGTGGTGAAACCCCCTCTCTTCTAAAAATGCAAAAACTACTTGGATGTAGACTACTACCCGCTTGTAGTCCCATCTACTCAGGAGGCTGAGAAAGGAGGATTGCCTGAGTCCAGCCGGTGGAGGCTACAGAGCGCTGAGATGGAGCCACTGCACTCCAGCCTCGGCAACAGAGCCAGACCCTGTCTCAAAAAACAACAAAAAAAAAGTGTTGCCACTGAAGACTAAGCAGGATAGAATATTACCCGACTATACACACTCCTGAAGGTTATAGATTCCGGGTTAGTGATTTTAAGTAGCAAAAACCAATGAGGAAAGATCATCAAGTCAAGAGGTTAAACGGGTTGGGGGGACTTTTGATGAACCCAGCCCTCGTAATTTACACCCAAGGTCTAATAACTTCAATTCAAGCCAAAACCAATTCTACCCCTAATGAAAACAAAAACTTTTTTTGTCTTTTCACTGCATTCCAAGTGGGGAAAGCGGGAGTGGGGATGGGAGGTGTTTCAGAAATCCTTAAGAAGCTTGCAACACTTTGCATTCTGAGAACAACTTTTTAGAACACAGCAGCTGCTGAAAACTTTAAGCTAGCTTATCATTTCATGAGCTTTGACACACCTGGGTTACAATATCTATTACTTAATCACCTTTCCTAGCATTCTTAAAGGTCTTTAAAAAAAAAAAAAAAAAGTCAAACCTTAGATACTCACTAATCCAAGGGGCCTAAGCAGGAATCTGAGAATTTATCTGGCTACATACCAAATTTTGACTGGGCTGTGCTCCAGAAAGAGATTCTATAGCTTTCTGATTTGGAGGCTGTGACCCTCAGAAATTTAGAACACTGCCCTAGCCCCTTCCAACACCTCCCGCCCCCAAAGCGAATTGATAAAACAGTCTAGGTGCACAGATTTCAGTCTCCACTCCATTTGGAAAGCAGAAGGGCTAAGCAAGGTAAAAAGTAGAAGCTGTTTCATAAGATGGGGAAGACGACTCACAACCAACCATCCGTACGCAGGGCAGACAGCAGGTGAAAAAGCAGGCTCAATCTACTGGCCACCCCAATCTGCACCACGAGCTCAAGGGGGAAAGGCAAGTCTCGGCAATACAGACCCCAGGACAAGCAGGGTCACCCCACCCACCCCACGTGCAGCCCAGGAGGGGCTAGCAAGTCCTGGCGTTCCGGCAGGGGCGGGTGCACACAGGTGCGGTGCCCCGAAGCCTAGGCAGGAGCCGCAAAGGGACGCGCGGGCCGTGCCAGGAAGGAGCGGCCAGTACCTGGCATGGAGCGCGTCGAACTCCCCGCGGTGTCCAGCAGCCCCACGCAGCACAAGCTGCTGCAGTGAGAGCTGCACCAGCGTCCGCAGCGCGAGCAGGTAGAGCGCGAGCCCCAGCGCCGCGCGCGCCTCAGACAGCCCGGTCCCCGCGCTCCGGCTCGCGCCGCCGCTTCCCCCTGGGCTCCTCTTCCGCGTCCTCCCGCCGCCGCCGCACCCATCCACCAGGGGCTCCTGCGCTCGGGCCTCCCTCTCCGGCGGTGGGACGGCCGCTGGTCCCTCCCGACGCTCTCCTCCGACGCGGTGCCTCCTCACAGCCGCCGACTCATAACCCCACTCCATGGCCGTGAACCTCAGGGGCCAGCCCAACCGCCCCAGCGCGCGAAAGCCCAGGCTGCCACCGCCGCCGCCGCCGCCGCCGCCGCCGCCGCCGCAGCGCCTCCTAGTGAGCGGACGGAAACTGCAGAGGGCCAAACTTCTTCTGATTGGCCCGTCCCGCCGCACCAAGACCAGCTGCTTTGGCAGTTCACGAGTGGGCACAGCTGCGGGGCCGACCCAGCAGCGGGTGGTGGATACGCCGTCTCCCGCAGGGCTTTTCCAGCCTGCTTTAGGATGGAGATTGCCAAATGAAAAGACACCTATTTACTCAAAACGAGAAACGTGAGAGATCGCCTTCGAAAGAATGCATAAGGCTCTTAAGGTGCACCAGGCAGATAAAGAAAGCAATGGCCTGGATTTCGTAAGGCATGTTAGAACGTCAGGCTCCAAAACTGTGGGTTCCTGGCTCTTAAAATTAGAAATAAGACTACGCCAGGGAGGCCCAGCCTATTGCTTTCACATGCATAACCTAATCAGATCTTCAAAACTCAGCAACTTAATCTGTGCTATTACTGTCTCCACTTAACAGATAAAGAAAAATAATGGCTTTTATTGAATACCTGCTTATAAGCTAAGCGCTGGACTAAGTGCTTTAACACATTATCTCATTTAATTATCTTAACACTTAAAAGGAAATATTTTTGTTCCCATCCAATACCCGAGAAACGTAGAGATAACAGGTTTTATGTCATGGGCTCCCAAAACAGCATTCTGTTCCACTATTACATTAGCACTCTGCAAGTGAAGGTTCAGAAAGGCCGTTCTTCCCTTGATGACTCCCTGGGGCGTTAAGAAGCAGGGCCCTGGTTTTAGTGCAGATCCTAGTGATTATCTACTCTTCTTCCTGGTTGCTGGTACCATGAGCCCCTCTGCTCCAAGGTTCTTTGTCCCCAGCTGAAGATACCTGCCTTAAGGGGCTTCAGTGAGGATTAATCAGCTAATATATGTGAAAGATCCTCACATAAGATTCTCATTAAAAACTATTTTTCAGAATTTCTCTTCTCATGCAATCCTTTGTAGATTAGATTACAGGCTACTTTCCTATCATGATAATCACAGAGCTCTAGGTGGTGGAAGTTAGGTTACAGTTGAGCTCTTGAAAGGCAGTTTTTCTCTAGACTTGTATAGTCTATGGTATTCACATTTGAATTTTTTAGCTACCAATTGTTGAATATCTATTTGTGTCAGATACTGATCAAGGTGGAGAATCGGAGAGAAGAACACAGCAATGTTTCTACCTTTCTAGAGCTTACATTCTAACAAAGAGACAATAAACCTGTGTGAGTGTGTGTGCATGTAAAATGTCAAAGAGTTAAGTACCATAAGCAAAAATTAAGCAGGGAAATTGATAGTGACAGAAGCTGCTGTTTTATTAGGGTGATCAGAGATGGTCTCACGGTCTCTCTGAGAAGACAACATTTGAGGTGACCTGAATGAAGCGAGGAATAGGGCCACATAAGCCTTGGGAGAGAATATTCCAGCAGAGGAAAGTGAGCTGGGATGTTCAGAGGCAACAATGAATAAGGCACACACTAAAGCACACTGAGCCAGGAGCCCTGGTAGAGGTGAGGTGACAGAAGTGGGTAGGAGCCAGTACAAGGAGGGCCTCCTGGTCACAAAGAGAACTTTGGGGTAGTTTTGAGCAGTGAAAGGTCATGCTCTAAGTGATGTTTTATAAGATCACTCAGTCTCAGTCCGAGGCAGAACAGCACAATGACCACATCTAGAACACATAGGCTAATAAAAGACTTGGATAATGTCTGATCTTTGAAGTGTTTGGGACCAGTTTGACCTATAATTTTATTTGTGTTGAAAGCAGACCACAGTGAACTGGAGCACATGCTCTAGTTCTCATATATCAAATCCCTGACGAAGAAGAGATAAATGTGAAAGGCTTTGGCTGCCCCATTTGGTGAGCTGTTGTTCATGGGGTTGAGTCAATTCATATGGCTTGAGAAGCAATTACGCTTTTTTGTGTCTCCCTTTATGACAAAGTGAGAGGTAAACTGACAGACATAGAGATGTCCCATGTCCCTTCTGTCTTGCCATCTCTTCAGTATTTCCTAGGACTTCGGCCAAGGTGAGTGGAAGGACATATGAGTTGTCAAGATTCAGATGAACTGCCAGTTTCTGTCTTCCCCATAGGTCCTTCCATAGCCAATGTGCCATAGAAGAAAACCATAGCCTATGTACTTTCTTCCTTGGAAGAGGAACTACCAGTGCATCTGGTGAAGTTCTCTGAGGCTCAGTCTAGCAGAAGGATGCCTTTCACATGATGTTACAGTGACATTCAAATTAGGTGAGATACCAAGCCAAGAGGTGAGAAGTGAGCCCAAACCAGTTGCAGAAAAAAGAAGCAGTTGTCAAAAGCTGACTGGCCTTTGAAGTAAGTTAAAAGATTGCAAAACCAAGTGCAAGGATTCCAAATGTGGAAGAATGCATGGGTAAATGTAGCCAGGTGCTGTTGCAGACAGCTGGGTTTTATGTGCTCACTTAGGTGGTATGAAAGTGAACCAGCTTTGTTTAAGATTCAGGGTACACCATCAATTTTTTAGGGTTTTCTTTGTTTGTCTGTTTGTTTAGATCCCTTAAGGCTAAAGCTTGAGCCTCAGGATGCTGTCAGACAATTGATCTTTCCAACTGTGAAGCTCTAAAATGGAACATCCAGGAACTGGTGACAATGGTCAGCTCCAGGGATCACCTCCAACAAGCCTGGAAACCTGGAAGCTGGCAGTGCTGGCAAGAAAGGGCATTCCAAAAGGCACATGGGCCAAATCTGTAAATCTTCAGAAGTTTTCTACCCCCATGAGCTTAACTGGCCTTGAAGCCTAGGGAAAGGGTAATTGTACCCCACTTTTAACCCCCCACCTCAAATTCTGGGCTGGTCCTCTCTGTTCTCTAGGTGCGCATGGAGAAGTTAGAGAACAAGCCTGGCTGTATGGTTAGCTGAAGCCACTATGTTAGGTTGCTTTTTTTCCATGGCCTAGTAAAAGGAGATTCTCTGATTTTGGAAGAATTTGTATTAATCTTAAAAGCCTCACAGAAACAAATGGGGTTGAGACGATTGGTTGTTTTCTTTTTTTCTTTTTTTAGAGACAGAGTCTAACTATCTTGCCTCGGCTAGACTTGAACTCCTGACCTCAAGCAATTCTTCTGTCTTAGCCTCCCAAGTAGCTGGTACTATAGGTGTGCCACTGCATCTGGTCTATTGGTTCTTTTGGGGGAAAAAAATCAAATTAGAACCTCATACCATATTACACATACATGGTATTCAAGTAGAATTCGAAATCAAATATCAACTACTGTTTAGTATAAAAATAAGATGAATATAATAGTTATAATAATTAAAACTCAAAAGTACAAGGACTCTTTAATCAAAAGAGAAGTGAAAGATATCATAAAGAGAAAAATCACATATTGGCTACACAAAATTAAAAACTTCTATATATAAAATAGTCACTAAAAAGATGTAAAGTCAAATGACAAATGGAGGACACAATTTCAACAAACTTTTTTTTTTAAAGAGGATAATGTATGTTATCTACATTATTCTCTCTCACTCTTTCTCTTCGTGTGCATGTTATATACACCTGTATATAACTGTGTGTGTGTATACACATGTGTGCACAGAAATCAATAAGAAAAATATCAATGCCTCAATAGAAAAATATGTAAACCATTCACTTTTAGTAACTAAGGAATGTATGTGAAAATGTGAACCATTTTTATCACACTGAAAAGGCAATTTTTCACTGGGTACAGTGGTTCAGCATGTAATCCCAGCACTTTAGGAGGCTGAAGCAGTCAGATAACTTGAGGCCAGGAATTGGAAACCAGCCTGGGAAACATGGTAAAATCCCATCTCTACCAAAAATATTAGCTGACAGTGGTGGTATGCACTGGTACTCAGGAGGCTGAGGTGGGAGGATCACTTGAACCCAGGAGACAGATGTTGTAGTGAGCCAAGATCACACCACTGCACTCCAGGAAAAAAAAAAAAAAAAAAAAAAAGCTATTAAAAAAATTATAATATGCACTGCTGGCAAACATTTAATTTCTAGGCACTTTTATGTGATGCTGGTGGAATGCATATTGAAAAGGCCTTTCTGGAGAGCAATTATGCAAGATGTACCAGAATCCTTAAAAGAATTCACAGGCAGGGTGCAGTGGCTTATGCCTATAACTCCAACACTTTGGGAGATCGAAGTGGGTGAATCACTTGAGTCTAGAAGTTTAAGACCAGCCTGGGCAATACAGTGTGACCCCATCTCTACAGAAAAAAAAAAAAAAAACACCAAAGAATTTAGTTGGGTGTAGTGGTGCATGTCTATACTCCCAGCTACTAGGGAGGCTGAGGTGAAAGGGTTGCTTGAGCCCAGGAGGTCAAGGCTGCAATAGCACCACTGTACTCCAGCCTGAGTGACAGGGCAAGACCCTGCCTAAAAAAAAAAAAAAAAGAAAGAAAGAAAGAAATTCATGGTGTTTGATGTAGTAATTTCATATGTAGGCATCTATCAAAGGTGTGGTTTCAGAATGCTCATCTATAAAAATAAAATATATGATAATGACAAGCATATAAAAATAAAACTTAAATAAATTATAGTACATTCAGAGTTTGGAATGTCATATAGTGTTAAACATAACATTACCAAAGTCTGTTTAATAACATGAGGGAAATGCTCACATTATAAATATTAAGAGAAACAAACAAAAAAAAGATACAAAATGGAAATTGATAAGAATATACTAGTGAATAGTAAATAAATGAAAGAACACTGAAGCAATAACAGTAGTTACCCCTGGGTAGTATTCCCCCTCTATTCATTTCTCTATTTTGCATCATTTCTGCTATGAGTTCAGTGTTCCCTTTAAAAGCCATGGCCTGGCATCAGGCTCCAGCTACCCCGTGCCTAGGAAGGCACTTGTCTGTAGATCACCGTCATTTTAAGCCTTAGGAAAGCAGTTTATAAATTGATTCCAACATGGATATGATTCAGGAGGGGAATGCAATGCCAAAAAGCTGATCTGTGGCCCGTGTTCCTCAAGCACATTTCGAAACT